TGTGTGAGTGTGTGTGTGTGTGTGTGAGTGTGTGTGTGTGTGTGTGCTGCATGAATCACCTTCTTGATGTTGCTCTCTGGGTTGAATCCACATTCAAACCCGTGTGGGGACACGGAAGTATGAAAGCCCTGCGATTTAACAGGATATTTTAGCTTCGCGATCATGCAGATGCACAGAGCATATAGCATGTTTCAGTGGCGTTCTGATCGCTTACCATGGCATTTTCTCCCCAGTCGGTCAGGCTGTAGTCCACTGTGATCTCCTCGCCTTTGGCAATGTCTCGAATGGCTATGACGACGAGCCGGACCTGACTCCCACAATGCACCTCTCTAATCCTACAGTTGGGCGGGGGGTGGAAGAGCACAGGGCCGCGGACGCCGCTAGCGCCCTCTTCAGCCAGCTCTGGCACACTGCTGGCCACAAACACACAGTACATTCAGAGTCAAAATTGCGAAATATAAACTCAGAATTACGAAAAAAGTTAGAATTGCATGACAAACTAACAATTACAATAAAAAGTCAGAATTGCTAGATGTAGTCAGAATTATGAAAAAAGTCAGAATTGTGTGACAAACTAACAATTACAAGAAAAAAAGTCAGAATTGCTAGATGTAGTCAGAATTATGAAAAAAGTCAGAATTGCTAGATGTAGTCAGAATTATGAAAAAAGTCAGAATTGCTAGATGTAGCAATTACAAGAAAAAAAGTCAGAATTGCTAGATGTAGTCAGAATTATGAAAAAAGTCAGAATTGTGTGACAAACTAACAATTGTGAGTGGCGAGATAAACTCAGAATTACAAAAAAAACATTAGACTTGCATGGCATAAACTAGCAATTACAATAAAAAAGTCAGAATTGCTAGATTTTTAAATTTGCAATTCTGAGGGGGAAATAAAATCTGAATTGAGACAAGTTTGCAATGACTCTTCTTATATTTTTATTCTGTGGTGGAAATAAGCTTCCAGATTAAGAACGCAAACGTTTCTGGTGTTCAGAATGATGTGCGCTGATGAATGGAGCGTTAACGAAGCAAGCCGTGCCCCTGGCGTGACTGTGTGAATGTACCAGAGCTGTGCCGGGTCGGTGAGGTAGTATGGGCTTCCCGGCGGAGGAAGACCATCTCCAGCTCCCTCTGCGTACTGCTCATCCCCTACACAAACACAAACACACCAACCCTCAGCAGCCCACATATGACACAATGGCCACAATTATCTAGTTTTTTTTAAACTGAACAGTTTACTGAACCTGTAGACAAAATAAATCTGTATTGTTTTGTTTTGTATCATATTTGATCCATCAGGCTTTCATGGCTCATAGAGTCTAATAAAGTGAGAATATGGAGAAAAACAGCTCAGTTTTATTCAGAGGCCAAAAATATGAATTTGCTACAGATGCTGATATTTATATGATGAAATTCTGCTGCTTGTGATGTAAATCAATGAGATCTTTCTAACAGTACAGCAGATACTGACATAAAATGATCTAAATATCAGTGGTCGGTGGTCGCTCTATATCTCCAGTAATAAGATGAGATGTAAATGCTCCAAACATATAATGCAGTGATTGAGAGCTGAAGAAATAAAGGCTCCTCAGAAGATGTGAGATGTTCTGGAGGCTTGTGAAGATCATTCCTCCGCTGAGGAACAGTGAAAGTAAAGCTTCTGGAAACAAACGCTCCTCAAAAGATCCTGAGGATCAGATTTGAGACTCTAAAACATGATTGATGGAGAATCAACTAAAGCTGAGCTGCTTCAGTCCAGTAAGAGTTCATCTGGAGATATTACTGCAGTTATTCTGACCTTTACTTGATAAAAAACAGTCAAGATTTGACAGCAGAAACACTCGTGAAGCGTTTCTACAATTACACTAAAAGAGCTTTGACTGGATAAAACACTCGAAACTCTCGATCAGAGACAGAAGACATGCAGGAGATCCAGTGTGAAACAGCAGAGTTTGATCATGTTGATCATTTAGAGGCCTTGTGTATCAAATATGATACAGTAGACTTTACAGTGTTAAAAAAATTCCTCAAGAAACTGAAAATCAAAACTTCAATAATTCCTAAATATGTTAAATAACAGAAACATCCCATTTTATTAACTTTACTGCTGCCCTTCAATGATCCAGTTCAGCCATACGAATAAGCAAAAATGACTTTACATAAACATAACATTTGTAGTGTTGAACTTTCTTCTCCTGCGTCCTGTGCTTAATGCAATCCAGAGAAAAAGTAACACGAAATTAATGCATTACCTTGCATAAAAAGTAACTAAGTAAAGCAATTAGTTACTTTTTAGGGAGTAATGCGATATTGTAATGCATTACTGTTAAAAGTAATGCAATTGTTCACACGTGTTCACTCTCACATCGCCTCCTGCTGGACATCAAGCTACGTTTCTTCTTCCCGTTTCACAAATTGTTCGTTTTTATATTAATACTTATTATGCATACGCATCTTCTTTGTGACGTGTTAAATTAAACCTTTAAGAAAAAATAAATAAAAAGAAGACTTTAAACCACAATTTCCCTTTTACGCAAATTATTTCAACGTGCTTTTAATTTAAAGACTTTTAATTTGTAACAGCCCCTCAATAAGGAACTTCCGCCGCGCGTGTCGCTCAGTTGATGACGCTTCTTCGGTAGCTTCCTGTGCGTTTTCTCTGGCCGTTCTGCTGTTCACACACGTCTGATCATGTTGGGCAAAATAATCGGACAGAAATACGTGTCTATCGCGAAATCATGGTAAGAACATGGTAAAGCTCCGTACAGCAGGAGGACTCTGCTCTTTTATTAATATGATGTGTTGGTTTTTATTAATAGCGTTGTCCTTGTGGCGACCTGACTAGCATGCTAACGAGCTCAGGTCACGAGAAAACACACTAAACTTTACTGTCGTGCTCTTTCCACTCTTTCTTTTGCTTTGTAGAGTATATATTATTTATCTGATAGTGTAGTGTGTGTTTATGTGGAGCTATTTGTGTTTTCTTATCTATGTTTATTGGCGTGATTGTTGTTCGCAGTAGTCATCAATACAAACGATAAAAAGGCAAAATGCATCTTACACTGTTCAATAAGATAAAAAAAAAAATCAGGAATATCTTTAGGATTGTTTTACAGCCTGTCTGACCTTCAGTTTTATTTCCTTTGTCTTGAAATCCCTTCATGTTCTGGTTTATAGCATTGTTTATAGTAACATTAATAATAGAACCTTAACCTCTAACTGCATTAATTGCTGTTTGATTCTGTTTTGATAATCTTGTTTTTTTCTTAATGGTTTTAAAATAAACGTGTGTCTTTAACCCTGTAAAGTCAGAGACTCAAACTGAGCAAACTATATAATTTGGTGCAGATGCTGATATTTATATGATGATATTCTGATGCTTGTGATTTTAAATCAATGATATGTTTATTACAGTAGAGCAGATACTGACATAAAATGATCTAAATCTCAGTCGTGGCTCTATATCTCCAGTAATAAGATGAGATTGAAATGATCCAAACATATAATGCAGTGATTGAGAGCTGAAGAAATAAAGGCTCCTCAGAAGATGTGAGATGTTCTGGAGGCTTGTGAAGATCATTCCTCCGCTGAGGAACAGTGAAAGTAAAGCTTCTGGAAACAAACGCTCCTCAAAAGATCCTGAGGATCAGATTTGAGACTCTAAAACATGATTGATGGAGAATCAAGTAAAGCTGAGCTGCTTCAGTCCAGTAAGTGTTCATCTGGAGATATTACTGCAGTTATTCTGACGCTTACTTGATCAAAACCAGTCAAGATCTGACACGAGAAGTGTTTCTACAATTACACTGAAAGAGCTTTTACTGGATAAAACACTCTAAACTCTCAGGATGGATGCAGTAGATGAGTGTTTCAGTACCTGGGCTGTAACTGTGTTCAGACAGACTCTCCTCCTCGTCCTCCGTCACATACACCGCTCTTTCACACACCTTCACCGGCGTCCCCTTCCTCTTCCTGCCACACACTCGCCTGTGCAGAACACACACACCCCGTCAGACCATCACACGCACACACTCGCCTGTGCAGAACACACACACCCCGTCAGACCATCTCACACACACACACACACACACACTCGCCTGTGCAGAACACACACACCCCGTCAGACCATCTCACACACACACACACACACACACTCGCCTGTGCAGAACACACACACCCCGTCAGACCATCTCACACACACACACACACACACACTCGCCTGTGCAGAACACACACACCCCGTCAGACCATCTCACACACACACACACACACACACTCGCCTGTGCAGAACACACACACCCCGTCAGACCATCTCACACACACACACACACACACACTCGCCTGTGCAGAACACACACACCCCGTCAGACCATCTCACACACACACACACACACACACTCGCCTGTGCAGAACACACACACCCCGTCAGACCATCTCACACACACACACACACACACACTCGCCTGTGCAGAACACACACACCCCGTCAGACCATCTCACACACACACACACACACACACTCGCCTGTGCAGAACACACACACCCCGTCAGACCATCTCACACACACACACACACACACACTCGCCTGTGCAGAACACACACACCCCGTCAGACCATCTCACACACACACACACACACACACTCGCCTGTGCAGAACACACACACCCCGTCAGACCATCTCACACACACACACACACACACACTCGCCTGTGCAGAACACACACACCCCGTCAGACCATCTCACACACACACACACACACACACTCGCCTGTGCAGAACACACACACCCCGTCAGACCATCTCACACACACACACACACACACACTCGCCTGTGCAGAACACACACACCCCGTCAGACCATCTCACACACACACACACACACACACTCGCCTGTGCAGAACACACACACCCCGTCAGACCATCTCACACACACACACACACACACACTCGCCTGTGCAGAACACACACACCCCGTCAGACCATCTCACACACACACACACACACACACTCGCCTGTGCAGAACACACACACCCCGTCAGACCATCTCACACACACACACACACACACACTCGCCTGTGCAGAACACACACACCCCGTCAGACCATCTCACACACACACACACACACACACTCGCCTGTGCAGAACACACACACCCCGTCAGACCATCTCACACACACACACACACACACACTCGCCTGTGCAGAACACACACACCCCGTCAGACCATCTCACACACACACACACACACACACTCGCCTGTGCAGAACACACACACCCCGTCAGACCATCTCACACACACACACACACACACACTCGCCTGTGCAGAACACACACACCCCGTCAGACCATCTCACACACACACACACACACACACTCGCCTGTGCAGAACACACACACCCCGTCAGACCATCTCACACACACACACACACACACACTCGCCTGTGCAGAACACACACACCCCGTCAGACCATCTCACACACACACACACACACACACTCGCCTGTGCAGAACACACACACCCCGTCAGACCATCTCACACACACACACACACACACACTCGCCTGTGCAGAACACACACACCCCGTCAGACCATCTCACACACACACACACACACACACTCGCCTGTGCAGAACACACACACCCCGTCAGACCATCTCACACACACACACACACACACACCCCGTCAGACCATCACACACACACACACACACACACACCCCGTCAGACCATCACACACACACACACACTGAACAAGTTTCGTACAAACAGAAACCACACAGGACCACTTCATGACACAACGCAGAAACAATGTAATAAAACTGCACTGCTGTAAAAACTAAATGTGAGTCTGATATGATAATGCAGAATGAGAATGATTCAGTGTTCTGACTGACTGATTCAGAATAGTGACTCTGTCGATTCAGGAATCAGTTTGACTTAAAAAAAAAAATGTATAATAGTAAGAAATAAATGATTATAATAACATCTAAGAAAACAACTCCGCCAACAGGAAACGCTCTCAAAAGGTTCTCTCAAAGTTACGAACAAACGTTCGTTCCAGTAACGTTAATATAATATTCATTCAGAGTTGTCTGGTCTTTAATAACGCTATTTATTCATCGCTCACGGAACGTTTTTAGTTGCAAACCATTTAATAAACGCTACGCTATTATCTGTTCAGAGAACATTCAAAAGCAACGTTCCCATAACGCTTGCAAAATCATAAGCTGGAGCACCTAACAAACAAGAAGAAACGTTTTAAAACATAAGAGGACTTGAACATTCAGAAATAGCATGTTCATAACTTATGGGAACGTAAGAAAAACGTTCTTAGAACATATTGGTTAGCTGGGAATAATATGATGACAACAATAATAGACACAAACTTTATTATTACTATATTAAAAATGTGTTTTACGTGTTCAATTGCTTCGTAATCTAAGAATTGCATATATAATGACAACAATAATACTAACTGAAACTATTATTATTGTATTTGAAATGCATTTTATGTTTTACCTGTTTGGCTATTTCGTTATTGTATCAAATACAGCAATAAACCAAGTAAACCGGGTTTCGCATATCGATTATCGAACATAACCGCATAAAAATACCGCGCGGATCCGGTTGCCATGGTGAACTGCTGTAACGGTCGCTCCGCAGCAGTGTCTATGCACGCGCACTCGCGCAGTGTTTTGCTAATCGTTCGAGTCTCCGCCGCTCGCGACATTAACGCGCCCCGGTAAAGCGGAACGGCAAAATAACGCAGTGCAGACACGCGCGAGCTCGGAGTAACGGCCGCGGGGGGTGTTTCCTCTCGTCGCGGCGTGTGCGCGAGCATAACAGAACCGGACCGGCTAACCGCTAGCACGCGCGCTAATCCGAGCGTTCCCCGCGAAACCAACGCCACGACTCGGTTCTCCGGAGAGAGCGACTGACCCGCGCGGCGGCGGCGGCGGCTTTCCTCCATCCCCGTCGCTGTCGAGGGTCGGGGGCTCCCGGTAATCGAACGGCGACCGCACGCTCTCCGCCATTAGCGCTGCTCCGGTGCGCATGCGCAGCAGCTCCGCCTGGCCAGGCCCTGAGATGGGCTCCGTCAACATAAACACTTCCATCGGTTCATTATTATTATTATTATTATTATTATTAATGACCGCAGCGCACAGTCACGGCAAACCCGACAATATCAAGGCATTAGAGAGAAAATACAAGCCTTGAAAAATAAATGCAATCTTAAAATGTTAAGGGGTTTGCTAGGCTCTTTTCTAGAGCTGGGCTCTTATTTTATGATACTCCTAAAATTGATAATATGAAATATATTTAATGGAATAGAAATATAATACAAATATAATTCCTCTAAATCTGTCTGTAAACATTGTTATTGCTCACTATTACGATGTTTATTTTTGTGTTTCTGTGCATTCACAGTATATAACGGTATATTGAGTAGTACTAATGTACTTATGTAAAAATGTAGTATTCTGAGGCGCTACTTTTATTTACACTTTATTATTACAAGAGTAATGCATTTATTTATAAAATGGACATCAACTTTAAAGTGTGATTTTGTTTTTTTATGTTTTATTATATATTAAAATATATTACAAATAAATAAATATCCCTTATTAATGCCTAAAAAACTAAAGTAAAGCAATCCTAAAAAGCAGTGACAATTTCTAGGCTTTTTTCTAGAGCTTAGCTATATATATATATTGTGAAAACTGGGAAGCATGATGATTTATACTTCATTTTTGTTTCTCACATTCAAGTATTAAAACCTTCCAACACACTCTCTCACACACACATACACGCACATTCACACATACTCACACACACACACTCTCTCTCACCATACTCACACACACACACTCTCTCTCACCATACTCACACACACACACTCTCTCTCACCATACTCACACACACACACTCTCTCTCACCATACTCACACACACACACTCTCTCTCACCATACTCACACACACACACTCTCTCTCACCATACTCACACACACACACTCTCTCTCACCATACTCACACACACACACTCTCTCTCACCATACTCACACACACACACTCTCTCTCACCATACTCACACACACACACTCTCTCTCACCATACTCACACACACACACTCTCTCTCACCATACTCACACACACACACTCTCTCTCACCATACTCACACACACACACTCTCTCTCACCATACTCACACACACACACTCTCTCTCACCATACTCACACACACACACTCTCTCTCACCATACTCACACACACACACTCTCTCTCACCATACTCACACACACACACTCTCTCTCACCATACTCACACACACACACTCTCTCTCACCATACTCACACACACACACTCTCTCTCACCATACTCACACACACACACTCTCTCTCACCATACTCACACACACACACTCTCTCTCACCATACTCACACACACACACTCTCTCTCACCATACTCACACACACACACTCTCTCTCACCATACTCACACACACACACTCTCTCTCACCATACTCACACACACACACTCTCTCTCACCATACTCACACACACACACTCTCTCTCACCATACTCACACACACACACTCTCTCTCACACATACACTCACACTCTCATGCACACACACTCACACTCTCTCTCACACACTCACACTCTCACACGCACACACTCTCATGCACACACACTCTCTCATGCACACACACTCACACTCTCTCTCACACTCTCACACGCACACACTCTCTCATGCACACACACTCACACTCTCTCTCACACATACACACACACACACACTCTCTCTCACACATACACACACTCTCACACACACACACACACACACACACAC